GTCCCCTCCAGCGGGTCACTGCCTCGCGTCTTCTTGCTAGCAGCAGACATCTACATCGGAACCTCCTGCCGCCACAGAGCGCTACGGGCGCCTTCCCCTGCCCCGCACGCCCAAGGCTGTGCCGCACTTACCCATCCCTGATGCCATCCCACCCGGCCTCCTCCCTGCTGGGCTCCCCCCCCACGCTCTCCCCCTCAGCGCCTGCGATGGGTGCCCCTGCTCCAACCGGGTTCAGGCACCACCACCAAGTACGCCCGACTGAAATCAGCCCTGCGGTGCAAACCGCGTCTTCCCAGGAGCCAACAGCCCCAGCCCGAGCTGGGACCAGACCAAGCCGAAACCGCTGCAGCTGCACGCCCACCGAAGCGGGGTTTGGCTGCGAGTCCAGCACTTGACACCACAAATATCTGTACCCCCCTGAGCCCACTGAGCTCTCCTGCACGGCGGTGATCCCCCCTGAGCAGGGATGCCTCTCCAGGTTACCCCTCAAGGCTGAGAGACCCTTTACCCGGCATCTGGTATCTATAATGAGGCAAGTGATGTTTTATATTACGCCTAGAAGTTATATTGTATGCTAGCAACATTTTTTTATATATATATACACACACAGAGCTATAGCTTAATTAGAAGTGTAGTGAGTAGCAGAGTGACCACCGTCACATCACCACCGTCAAATCACTGTTTAATTACCATGCAATTATTGCTTAATCACCATTTATCATTCAATCACCGATTCGTCATCAATAAAACCCCTTTAGTTAACCCCACAAGGATGACTTCTCTTACTAATTCACCTGTGACACCACCTCCACCGCCGCCGTCCCCTCCCGACACGCGCAGCCCGGCTGCTAGCGCAGACATCTCCCTGGCACTTCTTTCTCCTCCCAGACAGCACATCCTGCGCCCTCTGCCCGGTGCTACCTCGCCACGCTCCCCCCCTGCCCCGCCGCAGCGTGACCGTGCCCACGGCCCCGTGTGCTGCCCGCTCCGCTCCTCCCTGCTCCGTGCCTCCGCCACGCAGCTGCACGGCCGCGACAACAAAACCTACCTGAGACAGAGGCCATGCCAGCTAAAGGAGGAATTGCAAGCACACAGACAGAGGCCAGAGACTGTCCAGCCACCTCCTGACCCTTTTCCATCCTGGTGTGCTCTGAAGCTTCTCTCCTCCTGTGCCAACCACCGGTGCTCAGCCCGCACCACGGTCGCTGGGATCCCCTCCACTCCCTGTCACAGCCTCGCTCCACATTAGGGATCAGAAAGGGACAGAGATGCTACCTCCTACGCTGGTCCCAGAGCCACCCCAGCTCCTGCTTGCTGTGTCCCTTCTGCTCCGTTCACCTTGTCTGCAGGAGCAGGTGGGGTTGGCTGGCTCTGCTGGGACAAGATCCCTGCTCTGGCCAGCTCACGCCGGGCAGAGACGGAGCCCTGCACAGACACACATCACCCCGTGTGCAAGGCGAGGAAGCACCTAGCTTGGCCTCTCCGTCCCCGCTGCCGAGGGGGACAAGCAGCAGGCAGTCATTCAAGGAGATGGAGATGCCCAGAGCACTTACTGGAGGCTCGCACGGGTGGCCAAGTGTCCCCACCCAACATCAGTTTGCCACAGCTTCACTTGGACTATACGCCCCAGGGACAGCCATGGGAGCAAAGCTATAGAAGATTGCCTTATGAATGAAAATTAGCGTCCGGCTCTTTGTCGATTTTACTCTAATGGCCTGAAACTTTCAAAAAACTCTGCTTGCCAGTGCCGAGCACACGTCCAGCAAGAGCCGCCAGCAGGGAAAACGCCCGTGCTTTCAGCTCGGGTGAATGGACACCTTGGGGACAGAGGAACGGGCAGGAACAAGGCAGATCTGAGCGCAACGGGCAGCGCTGGCTCTGCATCCAAAGCAACCGCTGCCTGCCCTAGAG